TTCGGTATTTTCAGCACGTACAATTTCTAATTGAAAGACGATTTCATGGTGCGATTGGTCACGTACATTATGTTTGCATGGCAAAATCGTTTCATTACATTTGTTGGAAAAAACTGTTTCCTCTGCATCAACAAAGCACGTCGAGTAACTGCTAGACCTAATATATTGCCCAAATGTCTGTAAATAACAAAAGCTCTCTTTTGTCGGTAATCACGTACATTATTTCCCACTCGTCATTATTCACGTTCATGCCAGACCACCAGAGGTGCTGCTAAAACTATAGACTTAAACTTGATTAAAATATTTCCTTATCGTTTGGTTAGATGTTTAATTTCGGTAAACAAAATATTAGTGCTTTTTTCGACGGTGTTCACAAATGAGCATATGAGAGCAATCATTTTAAAAGCGGCAGAATAATGTGAAACGCAGCCACGTTGCAGCAGCATCGCAGAGACTAGAAGCTGACTGTGTATAACTACTATGCATACCTCATATCTGGATGAATTGGGGGGTAGCAAGGTAGCATAGGATGACACATTTTGATAATTAAATGACCCCATTTGTTCTCTCTATGAACATCAGCTGACATCCGTATAGGGATAGCTTATTCCTACGGCATAAAATGTCCTGTTATCATAAATAACACCTAGATTTGCAACCTGAAATTTCGCTACTGATACAGGTGGTAGTTTAAAGATAATCCTTTGAATGCATTTTGCAGAAACTTGAGCCTCAAATTATTGTTATTGTTACGCCATCAGGTCATCATATGGTCTAATTGGGTAGCAGCCGTTACCAATTTCCAACCCCAAAACTGTAAGCAACAGACATCATATTCTTTAAAGTGAATGCAACTTGCAGCACGAAATCTATGAGCAAATGGGAAGATTTGACTCTTAATTTTTTACATAATATGATGTTAATAAATGGAGTTTAAACCTAACAACTTCACAAAAAATCTTTACAAATTTGGCATATCTCCGTATGTTTATCATGACAGCATTACTTTTAGTCTATTTCTGAAATCTACTAGAAGGGAGTCCTAAAACAGCATTTAATTTTACTGATTCATAGACCCCGGATTTTGAATACGTTTACTTCGCCGAAAGAAGCACACTAACAATAATCTATAATATCGGTTGATATTAAGGCATCGTTGCAGAATTATTTAAGTATGCTTTAGAGTAGGGCATAAAGTTGAGGATAATCACAAGGCACTCGACTTACCACAATGCTTGTTTAAAATATTTGGGAACATGTTTGTACAATTGTCTGTACCCTTTCAATTTGTATATCAGTTCTCTATGTGTAACAAACTTTTAGACAGAATAAATCAGATGCTTGTAGCTCGGGTAATCTGTTCAGATTTTGTTCTGTTTTCCGAGCCCGGAGAACAGAACAAAATACTTTAGACAGAATATTTTGCAACAAATTAATTTATTTTGTCTCACAGGTTTAAAGACAATTTCGTGACCGTAATTTGCCATAAATGAAGTCAATTTGCAAATATTTAAGAAGATATTTGATCCAAACAAATTTTATGTTCTTTTGCAACTAGGATACATCTGGACATACAGGTTCCTGCCAACTTAAGCATTGTATTTCTTATATCTTTTCTACTGGGCGAATATTCGTACACGCATGTCCCATTATTCTTGCCAGTTAGAGTTGGTCACTCTTTTAAATACCAAGGATTTCAAAGAGCTAGGCTACACAAGTACTCACATTTATCGTGATTGCCTGTTATATTTTCTAGAATTCAAATAGTGGTTTTACTATATCGAGACTCGATGTTTAATTGCCTGAAAAACAAATATTTCTGAAAATCAGCCTACTTTCGCGCAACTTTGTATTGTAATTTCGGCATACATTTTATTCATCTGCCTCGTCCTCACAGAAATGCTTTTTGGTTCTCATTTGGCTGGGAAATTTTCTGGTGGCCATTGTTTCAATCTGGAGCAGGAGCTGGAGTACTGCGCGCAAAGGCATAAAGTTCAAATACCAAAAAACCCATTCGGTGGCTACAGTTTCGGCTACGGATCACTGAATGAAACAGACGCCATGTGTAGGTAAGTAATCTGTACATTATATTTGGTCTCACTACAAATTTAGCCATAAAATCAAGGGATGCATTTACTATTGCTTGAAAGTAATACATTTGGCATGTTGTTTGCTAAATCGCAATGAGTAGACTGGATGGATAAGCAAATGCATTTGTTTTCTACATTATATTAGCGGTCTTTCTTTATAGTGATCAATAGCGAGCAAATTGCCTTGTTTCGAAAGATGCCTCAATAATTCTACTACGTTAGTGCATAACTGTATGCCTTGCCACCTTCATAATGCTTCATATTCTACTTTAGGAGCACGTAGATATTTAAAGCCGAACAATTCCTATGAAATATTATTAGAAATATTCCAAATTGTCAGACATGTTGCTTCCGTAAGCATTTTCAATTCCTTAAATAGCGTTTAAATATATCCCACTTAGAGTATCACGGAAATCACATTTGTTACAAGTCATTGTTTACGTACCATCAATATGTAATTAGAAAAGCGGTGAAAGGTTATTACAGCAGCGTATAACATTCTATAGCAAGCAACAAATTTGACAATAATTGAAAGAAACACTGAACACATTGAATGAATGGTACCTGTTTAGGCGAATATTAGTTCAAAAATAAATAGAAAACTCAATAAGCTTGATAGGAGAAAACATGACACAGAAGTTTTACATTACAGTGTTTATTCAAATGACAGAGCTCTGCAACTTATTTCAAAATGCCACTCGCCCGTTACTGCGTGAAATAATGAAGGCATCTTAAAATCAGGATCTAATAAATTTGAGCCCGCATTTCCTGAGAACCGGATATATACTATAAGATTTATCGACAATTTACTTAGAATTTTTAGGTGTACAGTTTTAATAATAATGTTAATTATTTGATCCCATTAGATTGGTTTCGATGTGCTTTCGTAATAGTGTCTGTATGACCTATATGTAGAAGTATAAATCACCGAATTTTATTCAGCAAAATTGCTAGAATTCCAGGCAATTTTGTGCGCTGTTTGCTTTACTTTTCGTCTTTAAACTTGTTATTCTTGCCTAATATAGTTTTCTCGTGGCCACACAAGTTGGGCTATAGCTATTCTAAGTGCAGCATTTTGCAGCTCCTGTGCGTTATGGATGCGCAAGCATTAGATCAGCATTAGATGTAACTTGCTAAAACAAAAAGGAAAATCCTCTATTTTAACTGCAATATTTCGGCCAACACAATGCGCTTCACAGCCTATTTACATTGCGTACCGAGAGTCGTGAGCAAAAAATGGATGGGTGATTATGAATCTGAAAAAAGTGTCGGCAATCGAATTCCGATTTTTCTACTGTTTTGCCACAAATTTCCACGTAGAAAATAATGTAATTGGACTTAAAGTGTTTTGGAAATGAATCTGCTATGCCCCGTTTACAGTGAACAAACAAACCTTTCCAGGAGAAAATAAATAGTTCCGTTGATTGGTTACTGAGTTGATTGCAGTTCTATAGTGATTTGATAGGACCTTGGTGTGTGCTTTTAAGGAATATATAAAACCGGCTTTACATGTTTCAATTACTGAATACATGAATTCATTGATTACAATACTATGGTAGTTTGCAGAACTTAGACGTTACCATATTTTTCCTTTCCATGACAATTAACATTTCCAACACCCGTGAAGAAAAAAATGGCATATTCTTATCGTCAAATGTTTACGAAGACGTTCAGAGGAAACGTGTCAAAGCACCGAAGAAGCAATTACTCATCAACTATTTTGGTCTATATCACTAGAGACGATGAAATTTGAGCGAGCCGCTGCTTATATTTGCCACAAACATAATTTGCGAAGTAAGCGCTGCATAAACAGTGGCTTTCGCTTAGTCACTACACCTATGTATATTTGTATTCTTACACATTCGTATATTTCCGTGTAAGATTTAGGTAAATTTGACTACTTGATACATTGCAATACCAAACACAACAGGACAAGCTATTCCCGTGCCTTAGTGTTGGCTAAAAAACGTAAATTCTGGTGAAATATTGTATTTGACTTTTCAATAGATTGCCGATGTAGCAGGCCTAAATTTTACAGTAAGGTAAAGATTCACGGAAAATGCATATTTCAGTCATTGGTTTCAGCAGCAAATTAATTTCTATCAAAAATGGAGTTATAACATTAAGGCAGAAAATATTGAAAATGCTACGTTGTTAGCATCCATAAAAGGAGAAGTCGTATGCTATATTCTTTAGTGAACGGTGGCAGTTTTTTGCAAACATTCAGTTGCATAACAATGGTATCATGTAATGAAGCAGCATGCAACAAATATTATAGTTATGATAATAACAACTACTGTATGTTAACTATGTACCTAGAAGTTAGCTTATGGCCTTCTTAATTAAATATGCCAAAATGTTCTGTAATATTCTAAGAATTTATGAGGCGTGTAAAGGCTAATTATTCCGAAGTATTATTCCCCACTCTTGAATAATGACATGAATAACAATAAGGCCAATATCCTTACTTGTGTAGGAACGCTTCTTCTGCCCATTTCGAAACGGAAGATAACTTCTTTAAAACCATTTACCCTTTGACATCTCAGCAGTTAACCTATTTATTAGTATTGTTTCAGAACTATTTAAAATGAGGAACTTACTTTCATTTTTTTACCTTACAATGTTAACTTCATGTCTGATATTTTTGGTAAACTTTAGTTAAAACGATTAGTCATGATACGACAAGGGACCCAGATAGTAATAAATTAGTCGAAACTCGTAAGTATTTGGGGCAAATATTCTTTATTTATTACACTGACTACAGTAATAAACCGTACTGTACTAACCATTACTCGAAATTTCAAGCTACATTAAATTTAGTAACCCACATTAAGCTGCAATTGGTATGGATTAACAAATGACTGCAAATTGCATTGCAACACATGCACTATTTCCCCATATCAGTTTTCCATGAGCACCAGAATATGCCTGTTGACACAGGAGAGATTAGCAGAACAGTTTGCAGTGAACCAAAGCAATACAGTCAGGGAGGTGGTCGTTGCGTTGCAAGACCAGTCCAGCAAAGTTACATCGAATTCCGATGAGTACTTCAGGCTTATCAAAAATACTTTGTCTGAATACGAATGCAAGTAAGTCTATAGTTATTTATGTTGCAAACAATTGTCAAAATCCAAAAGATTGTTCGAAAATAAAATGTCTTAGTCTCTTAAAGCATACAGCATGCGTTGCAGATACAAAAAATGGTTACAATATTTACACTTAATGCATCATTTTTGGATAATTACGAAGAGCAGATCTGCTTGTTCTGATGCCTCAGTGAAATCAGAGAAAATGCAAACAGTCGACCTGTTGTAGCTGTGTTAATGCATCTGCGATAAAACTTAAGTACGTACAGATTTCACATCGCGCGAGTTTTAAGATTCTCGTAAATGTAGAGATTAATCATGGTTTGAAATTTTTACATGTAATATTAGCATTTCTCATCCAAATAAATGACGAACTTATACGTAATTTCTAACACCCGATTACAAGTGTAGTATGCTTCTCCTCAAAAGATATGCCTCAACGATAAAACCGATGCACATTGTTCAAACAAAAGCCTCTAATATTGTTTTAGTGTGAGTTGGCAAATCCCGAAGTCTCCACGTTTGATAAAGATCAAGTGTACAGGCTATTGCTCTATAAGGTGGCTATGGTTTATATAATCTCAGGAACGAGCCCTAGGCGAGAAGCGGTTTGTAAACGTTTGCTAAAGGCAATATACTTATTTTAGTCCGGTTGCAGCATAAGGAAAATAATTTTTCTAAAGAAACACCTTTTAATTACTTGTCTCTCTCCTTAGGCATTTATGCCCATAGTAGGGCCAAATTCCCCTTAGTAGCAATTTTACTTCACCGAAGGCTAAATAGAAGAATGTTGATCAATCAGAATGGTAACCTGCTGTGGCCTGTGGTGAACTAGAGAAAGCTGCTGACCGTCAGAGGAAAGTGCTGGAAATCGCTGTTTTGAATCCTGATGAAGCTGAAGGACGCGGACGACTGACGAGGCACAACAGTTCAAAACCGCAGTTTGGTGTATTCCAGGCATGTAGAAGACCATCAGATGTGGCGTTTGATGCAACGAGCTCTAAGTTAATAACTTCTGAATTCATTATTTCTAGACTAAGTTCGACGGACATCACACGGCCGTCGTTGAATCCTTGTAGGAATCGTCAACCTTGCGCATTCCATTTGAAACTTGTAGGGCTCGATCCCAAAACTTGACTGTGTTTGAGAACACTGAGTTAGGAAGACGGAAAGACGGTGGTGACCAAGATACTAGATATTCTATTGCGCCGCTCACTATTCACTGAGTTGCACTTTACTGTCTTACAGAAAACAGGATAGCCCATCACCAAGTGACGAACTTGAAATATTTTCGGCCAATAAACTTAGTGCACTGTAAGCCTTTTGGGGAGTTGAATGTTATACAGAAATTCATCACAAATTCATCAA